CTTTGCTTTGCGGGCACATGTACTGACCAGAGAGAAGGAAAGTGAGAAACCGCCCCCAGAGGGGGGCCTTGCAGCAGCCCCTTCTCCATCCTCCTGTTGGGATTTGGGGTGCACACCTGTGCCCAGCTTGCCTTTTTAGGCTGCTGGTTCTGGGACTCGAACTGCAGAGAGGGCCATGTAGGATCCGGTGCCTTAGCCATCATACCCCCTGCTGGCCCCATTATCTTGAACTCTTCTGGAAGGAATGCACCCCCAAGCCCAGTTGGTTTGAAACCCCTCGTGCCTCGCGCACAGACCCAGAGGCAGAGGAATGCACGCGAGCAGACCAGGCCGGCAGCGAGATCAGCTCGCCCTGTCCTGGGACCCGGGACTGGCGTAGCTGGACAGGTGCTTGAGGAAACTTGCTGCAGGAGACGACGGGGCGGGGGCTGTGTGGCCATTTAACACACACTTTTGCAGGCAGCAAACACCTTTGGGCTAATCAGGAAACGGAAGTTCTCATGTGGCAAGAAATGCTAAGATGTGAGTCCGCGTGGTAGGGCGCTATGCCAGGTGACTGAGGCACAGCTGAGCAGGGGCACCCTCCAGGGGGCGTCACTGTTCAAAAGCTCAGGAGTTACACGTCTGCATGTGAATGGGAACACTTACAGAAGGTTAGGGACATTGCAAAACCTTAATGGTTTTCCTTACTGTTCTTAAACGTAAGGAGTTTCTTTTACTCTTATGGCACAGAAACGCTTAATTATCAAACTCACTTTTGTTGAAAGTCGCACAGGGAGCCAGCAGGTGGTGCAGAGGTTAAAGTTGGCCCGCAGGGCCTACATCGTGGTTCATGTCCTACACCCAGCAGCTTGGAAAACATGCCAGGCTCACATGCATGCATGCCCAAGATCCTAAGGGGGGAGAGGAGGAGAAGGGATTACAACGGGCCATGCCCCAGGGGTGTCCCCATCTTAGCCCTCTCTCCCTCTGGCGAGCACATGTGCATGTAGAGAGCATCATAGCCAAGCTGGGACCTGGTATTGAGGGCAAGTAGGTCCCACATGGCAGCTGTGCTGTTCAAGTCCAGCCCTGGCTTGAGAAGCACCAGCTAACTGTGTGTGCTTGCATGCCCACAGCCCGGAGAGGGGACGGGAACTGCAGCACGACTGTTCCCGGGGTGGGGGTGCTTTCTCACTTTGCCTCTCTCTCTCCCCCTCTCTCCCTCTGTTCCTTTCCAAATAAGCACATACACCATCTGGCAAGATTACCAAAAAAAAAAAAGTAGTATCGTTTGGGTTTTTTTTTTTTTAAGTTGTTTTGTTTTGTTTTGTTTTGTTTTGTTTTTTAAAAATCACCCTCCGGGGGATGGCCAGGCCGTAATCCCTTCTCTTCCATTCTCTTCTTGAGAGTTTGGGCATGCACACTCGTGCACCCTGCATGATTTTGTTTTTTGAGAGATTTTTTGCTATAGGACACGTGTGCTCACAGAGATACAGAAAGTGAGAAATCACCCCCTGGGGGGATGGCCGCACCACAACCCTTCTCCTCCATTCTCCTTGCAGAATTTCGGGCACGCACACACAAGTACTCAGCATAAGTTTCAAGCTATTCAGTAACCCTAACCCTAACCATGGCCAGCCACGTGGAGTCCAGCACCTTAACCGCTGCGCCATCTGCTGGCCCCCACACCTGGTGCTGTTTTAAGCCACCTGGTCTGGGACCTGAACCGTGGCTAGCCACGGGCATCCAGTGCCTCAGCCACCTCCCCACCTTTGGCTCCAGGCCGTCCCGTGTCTCCAGCTGTATATGAGCCATTAGCTGGTCCTGGTTCGACAGACATCAAGCACTCATGAGGGCAGGTTTTAGACTGGGAGTGGGGTCATTTCTCCATTAGCTTTGTACTTCCATGCTGTGTGTGAGAGGGAGAGGGAGGGGCAGAGGGAGGAGGTCTGTGCACCTGCCCTAGAGCAGGAAGCCCCGTGGGCCTCCATCCACCTCGGCATTTTCAGCACACGTGCCTAGGTGTTTCTCAAGCTTCCAGTTAAGTTAAACCATGTGGCTGGGCTGTTTGAACCACTAGGCCATGGAGCTGGCCCCTTTGAAATTAAGAGCAGGTATCGTTTTTACAAATTCAGGGAAATGCCTAGATCTGGAACTAGCCCGTAGTGCGGCAGCTAGGCAGTTGGATCCCATGTGGCCAACCACAGGGTTCAAGTCCTGGAAACAGCAGCTTAAGAAACAGGCTGCGCACGGTGCCCGTGCCTGTGCGAGCATGCCTGAAGTCTGGGCAGGAGGGGAGCAAGGAGGAGGCATTGCAGGACGCCGTTCCCTGCCGGGGAGCGTTCTCTCTCTGCCCTCTGCTTTCCCTCCCTCTGCTGAGCACATGCACTTTCTGGGCACGTTTTAAAAGCCCAGGTCCTGAGTGGCTATGTCGGCATCACGGTGCTTCGCTCTGACTGTGGGAGGGCGGCTGGTTGCTTCTACCCTCCTTCTGTTCTTAGGGTTTGGTAAAGCCCTGTGCCCCCAAAGCAAAGCACAGAAACAGCTGGGAGGTTATCCCTTTCTGCGCGAGGGAGCCGCGTCAGCACTGCATTAAATCAGCGTGGGCAGGATCACTAGGAGGAGCCCGGTGGGCAGCCTGAAGCCTGTGCCCAGCGAGGCCTGTTCACAGAGCCTCAGCTGCCCAGCTCGTGCTGTGCACCTGGGGTCAGTCACTGCAGGCCTCTGAGCCGAGGGCGGGCCTGAACGGCAGCCCGTTGCCTGTGAGGGCCCAGTGGCATATTTGCAGGCAGCCAGCTTGCTGCCGAGCCCAGTGCATGTGTGTGCCCTTCGGTTCCCGTCTCGCTGTGTGGGGAGGAGGATGGCGCCCGCTGCCCCACCTCTCAGCCTCTGCTGCTCTCCCTTCATCCTGACCTGCGACCACAGAGGAAAAGGACCTTCTGTGTGGACACGCCTGGGTAGTGCAGTGCAAGGCCTGCCGCTCTGGCCAGTGGTCTCTCGGGGACACCTCAGCAGGAGCTCTGGGAGGCCCTTCCCGTGGGCATGGAGCCCACACATGCTGCTGGCTGAACCCTCCTGCCTGCCGCCGGGGCTGGAGGCTCAGACGCAGGGTTCCCCAGCCCCGCAGCCCGTGGCCCGGACTGCACGTGCTCATCCTGGTCTCTGGTGATGCCATCGGAGGGGAGCCGTGAGCTGTCTGCAGTGTGAGAACCCCTCATTGAAGAAAATGTTCCTTCGGAGGGTTCCGTGGAGAAGGAATGCTTGTCCTTGAGGACGGGGGAGCCTGGAAGTAGGAGCAAGAGGCTGATGGGCCCAGGCATGCGGCGCTGGCTCCGGTCAAGCCCAGCAAGTGTCGAGGCTGCGGCGGGTCCCTGCACGGTGCCCTGAAGCATTTGGGAGGACCAGACCGTCTGGGACCAGGACGATCAGGAGGGCAGTAGCGGTGTGCTGCCCCAGCCCCCTGCTGCCCTCCCTGGGAGAGCAGGATCCTGCTCTCTGCATGCCCACCTGCGCTTGAACCTCTGCCCACAGTCCACCTGGCCGTGGGGCACCCAGCGCACCTGCCCAACCTGCTGTTCTGGGGCTGCCCGGGCCGCAGCGCCTCAAGCCTCCCAAGGGCCCAGCTCTCTATGATGCGTGCCCCGTCCAGGTGGCTTTTGAGCCCAACACTTCAGTCTTTCTTTTCTCATTTTGTCAGAGGGTGCATGCACTCGAGAGAGAGCACCCACCAGTGGAGCACACACACACACACGTACCTGGTGCGTTGTTCAGGCCATTGAGACCAAGGTCCACCGGGACCTCTGCCTGGCTGTGTGGCACCCGCCCGGAGCCACCCGTCCGCATTGCCAGCCCACGCTCTACACGTTTACTTACCACATGAGCAAGAGCAGCAGCACTCCCAGAGGTGTGACGCTGCGGCCACGCCAGCCTCGGCCCTGGGTCACAGGCATGCGCACCTGCTGTCCTCAGGACGCAGGCACAAACCCGGACACTCCTGTGTGGCTCAGCCTCGTGGAGCGACCATCTCTGTCTCCTCCCTTGGTGGCTTCAGTCATTCTTTTAAGCTTATTTTAAAAGTTTGTTTCTTTTGTGAGCACATGAGAGAGAAACAGCACCCCTGCAGGACACAGGTGCTGCGACCGACCCACCCCACAGCCAGCTGCCCTGACCACGTGCACCCCGCAGAAGACGTCGACGGAGCCAGGAGCCAGACATGGGGTCGCTGCGCAGAGCGTCGGCTTACCACTGCACTGCTGTCTGGCCCCAGAGCCATTCTTTATCTTTTCTTAGATTTTTTGCTATAGGGTGTGGGCTCGCTGGAGAGAGACGGCGAGAAATCACCCCCCCCCCCCCCCCGGGAGGAATGACCACACCACGATCCCTTCTCCATTCTCCTCGCGGGACTTTGTGCACACGCGCACACGCGCCGGCCTTAGTTTTAAGCCACCAAATCCAGGACTGTAGGAGGGGCCTTGGTCTTCTGGGGAGGGAGGCCCACCTGTGTGGCCCCCGGCCCAGGAGGGGACGCCCCTGCCCAGCCGCTTCTCAGCTCTGCTCCTGCCAGCAGCGTCCTCAGGATGGGAGAAGCCACCCTGACTGCCACCACCAGGGCTGCCGTGCCTGCTGTGCGGGCCCCACCCACTGACAGTCACCTGGAACCTGGTTTGTGCACAGAACATTTGTAATAAACTCGTTTTGTGGTGACCGAAGCTTCGTCTTTGAGGTCATTTTTATTTTTTTAATTGCCAGAGGGCATGAGCAATTGCCAAAGAGAGACCGAGGGGGCTCTAAAGACGGCGCCACATAGTGGGGCGCTCACACAGCCCCCCCGACTCTCAGAATTCGGGGCACACATGAGCACCCGGCATGCTTTCCAGGCTGCTGCGGCCAGGGCTCACAGCATGGTTAGCAGCACAGGGGCCAGCTCCCTCGACACCGAGCCACAGGGCAGGCCCTGAAGGTATCTTAGAACCGTAGCTTGGCTTGGCCTCACTGACCCGCACTCTTCTCCTCCCCAGTGAAGATCGTGATCCGGGGAGACAGGAACACGGGCAAGACGGCCCTGTGGCACCGACTGCAGGGCAGGCCGTTCGTGGAGGAGTACATCCCCACACAGGAGATCCAGGTCACCAGCATCCACTGGAGCTACAAGAGTGAGTGCGGCGGCCCGCGGCCTCTGCCGGACACTGTCCCACAGGCTCGCGTCACCTGCAGCGCGGGACGCGGGTGAACTCAGACTGGCCGTCCCAGGGAAGGCCACGTCTACACCACCTGCTGTAGGGTTTGGGCCTGGACACAGGCAGGGCAGGTGGGAGGAGGCAAACTCTGGGACCCATGTCCCCAGGCAGCACAGTGAGTGGGTCCTGGCAGCAGAGCTCTGCACATGCAGCCCTGGTGTCCGCTCGACCTGTGTCCACCCCACCGCTGGGAAGGACACCCCTGGTCCCACCTCAGCCTTTTACTTTAGCTTTGGGACATTTGGTCATTAGAGTTTGTGGGGGGCAGCTTGTCCACACACCAGCCTGGAAAGAGATAGGCCTTGCCTTCCCAGGATGGACTGATGTGCTGAGGCAGGGGCTCTGTGGGAGCAGAGAAGCAGGAACCCTGAGGGCCAACCCTGAGCAGTTGTGAATTTCTCGTTTTTTCACTAGAAAGTAAACCAGTGGGGTTCAAGGCCTTTCCTCAGCTCTGCTGTAGGGCACATGCACTTGCCAGAAAGAGACCACGTGTGAGATCACCCCAGGGGCGGTAGTCCCCATTCTCCAGATTTGGGGTCACACACTTGTGCACCCACATATCCAGGTGTTGCTGAGCGGGGACTAGAACTGCAGTCAGCCGTGTAAGATCCGGCCGCCCTAACCACGAGGCCAGCAGCAACCGGGGTGCAAGCTCTTTCCAGAAGACCAGCTCTGTGTGTCGGGAGCCAGCACCTGCAGGGCAGTGGCGCGGGGGATACGCACACCACACCCCATCACTGGGCCCGCCAGCACTCGACAGGCCTCCTTGACGGGCTAGTGCGAGATGGCTGCAGTGCTTGGGCGGCCATGTGAGCCAAGACATCGCGGCCGCGTTGTCTTGGCTCACATGGCCCTCTGCACCGCGCACTGGGGCCTGAATGTGCAGGCCTGGGCTCTGGCGCTCAGGACGAGAATGGGAGGGGCAAGGAGGCCGTGCCAGGCGTGCCCAAGGCTGGCGGCGTGGCCCCCCAGTCAGCCTGTGGCAGAGCCTTCCTGGGAGGCCACACCCTGTCACTGCAGCAGGCTCCAAAGCCCTAGTGGGAACCTGGGTACACAGCCACACCTTGAAACCTGTGCCGGGTTCTAACAGTGGCGTTTCCATGTTTCAGCCACGGACGACATCGTGAAGGTCGAAGTCTGGGACGTGGTGGACAAAGGTAAGGCGCCCCCTCCGTGGCAGTGTGTCTGCCAGGCGACAGTCCGGGCTCAGTGCCCCTGCTCTGCCCTCCCAGCCCACGCCGGCCCTGGTTCACATGTGCTCAGGTGCTCTCTGGGTTCGGATGGCTTCCGTCCTAAGCCCCCAGCAGAACTGTGTGCCTTTGGTCCAGCGCATGTAGCCTCAGCGTGTCATGGGCCACGTGAGGTGCGATTGCAGCTGCGTCTTAGCTTGGGCCGGGGACAGCCACGCAGTGGTGGGTCTGACCCAGCTCGCTGGCTCCGCACTCGCTGCTGCCTCAAGGGCCTGTTTAATCTGTTGGCTCCTGCACACGGGACGGGGGATCCCTACAGTGGGGCACAGACTGGGCCAAGTGGGGTATCTGATGGTGGGGGGCACGTGACGGTGGGCACAGACTGTCCGGCGGGGTCTGAGATGACGTTGCAGTGGGAGCCCCGCCCACCCTGTCCCTGGGGCCCCACGCGCCAGTTGCCTGTGTGCACAGCCCAGCCAGGGCCTTCCCTTCTTCTGTGGAACACTCTGTCCCTTGGGTGGGCGTGTCCCCAGCCCCCAGGAAGGCCGCGGTGGGCCAGCAGGTGTCCTCACAGCAGTGTCCAATGGCGTCTGAACCCCGTGCCACGAGCTCCTTCCCTGAGGGGCGAGTGAGAGCTCCCGCCCCTCCCTGAGCCGCTAGCTGGGTGGGGCTGGCCTCATGCTTGGCCATGGCCTCACCAGAGTGGCTGCCACCTGCTCAGTACTCCAGTGGCCGCGCTCACCCTGCTGGGCGCACCTGCTGGGGCAGGGCTGCTTGGTGCACATGCCCCTCTCCTGGCCTGTGTGGGGCCGTGGCTCCAGCGAGCTCTCCTGCACAGAGCCGGTGTCCGTGCAGGACTTGGGCCTGCCCAGCCTGTCGCTGTGGCCGAGGTGGCATTCCCACCTGCAGCCACCCAGGAGGTGGGGCTCACACCAGGGCCGCATGGGCTTGAGCTCTGGCCCCCAGGCCCAAGGGGAAGGAGAGGCCGTGTCCTGGGGACAGCGTCCCCGAGCAGGGCAGCAGTGTGGGGCCACCGTGCAGCAGCATGTCCACTTAGGCAAGGCCCTCCCTGGCAGCCCCACACCCTCAGTGTGTGCAGGGCCTGTGGGCACGGAGCCCAGAGCTGTCCTGCTCGTGCCGAGCGTGTGCCTCTTGCCCAGTGCTGTCAGCCTGCACCTGGGACTCCAGTGGGTCAGGTCCCCCACCCCCACATGTTGGCAGCCCCAGGAGAGTTGCCTGGGGCGGGAGAGAAGGCCAGGCCAGGCTGGACCCAGGGAGGTGCCTGCTCCACACCGCTGCCCAGCGTCCTTCTCCTCCGTCTCCCCCGCGGCTCAGTGCTCGAGGCAGGCAGCGGCTGGCGAGACCTCGCAGCTGTGGGCCGGTTCTCAGGGTGCCGAGGAGCTCTGCTTTCCTGTTGCATGTGCGAGGGCAGAGAGGTTTCTAGAAGAGAGGGTGACTTGTAGGACAACCTTTCTCCTATTGTGTTGGTTGGGCCAAGGCAGCCCTCTGGGCTCTGGGCTGCACACTGTCCAGGGGACAGACAGGCCCCTCCCCATGCTGAGCCCTGTCCGCTGCACCTGGGCACCCTGGGCAGCACACTCAGCAGGTAGCGAAAAGCCCCGAGTCCTGCCGGGCAGAGTGGAGCCAGGGGCATTGGCGCCTCGCGGTGCTCAAGCGTCCATCTGTGTGCCCCGGCCCTTTCCCGAGTCCCTGGGTCCCCAGGTGGTCCCGTTACTGAGGAGCTCCAGAGCGAGCCACAGGCTCTGCAGCTGGCCACCCTACTCAGGCTCCGAGCCCTGCCCGGCCATGCCCACCCCTGCAGGAGCACTCACGGGGCCCTGAAGCAGGTGTCTGGACACCAGGGTGCCCTGTGCCCAGTCCTCAGCCCTCCTTCCCCCCCAGCCGTGCTTGTCATGTGTCACTGGGTACCAAGAGAGAGCTGTCAGGAACTGCCCTCGCCCCCACCCTCACCCCGTCGAGAGCCCACTTGTCAGTGACACATTACCCCTGGCCTCGGATGTGAAGGGGCCAGGCCATCAGGAGGGGCCCTTCCCATCCCTGAGCCCAGAAAGCCTCGCCTGCCTCTTCCAGCTGAGGTTCTGCCTGCCTGGCACCTCCTGGGGCCATCCGGTATCAGGCTGCCCTTCTCTGCCTTTCTCCTGCAGCTGAGCCAGGGGTGGCCCCGCCTGTGGTCATGCACCTCCTAGAGGTGGGGCAGTGGGCTGGGGGTAGGTGCTCAGGGCATGCTCAGACCAGCAGCCCTCCCCACACTGGTTTGTCTTTTCATAAGGAAAATGCAAGAAGCGGGGTGATGGCTTGAAGATGGAGAACGACCCCCAGGAGGTGAGTGTGTCTGTGATGTGTCCCAGGCAGGGGGTTGGCCTGTGGCAGCCTACCAGCCAGCGTGGGGACTGGCAGGCCCTGAGCAGATGTTGCTGGAGGCTCCCAGGGACCCCAGGACAGACCGCACACTCACCCTGGGGCAAGGGTCCTGCCTTCAAGAGGGTCACCGGTTATCTCCTCGGGTTAGACACGGCCTGTTGGGCCTATTCCAGGTTGCTGCAGGCCCGTGGGTGGGACCTGGCCTGGGGCCGTCTCACACCTCCCCCTCCTGCCCCCAGGCGGAGTCCAAGCTGGCCCTGGACGCTGAGTTCCTGGACGTGTACAAGAACTGTAACGGGGTTGTCATGATGTTCGACATCACCAAGCAGTGGTAAGGGCCGGGCAGTACCTGCTCCTTCCACATCACCGAGCAGCGGTAAGGGCTGGTGGGCAGTGCTCCCGCGGGGCTTGGGCCGGGCAGTGCCTACTCCTTCCACATCACCAAGCAGCGGTAAGGGCTGGTGGGCAGTGCTCCCGCGGGGCTTGGGCCGGGCAGTACCTGCTCCTTCCACATCACCGAGCAGCGGTAAGGGCTGGTGGGCAGTTCTCCTGCAGGGCTTGGGCCGGGCAGTGCCTATTCCTTCCGTGGCTCCAGAGTCCCTCCCAAAGGCACGTCCAAGATGGAACAGAGCCCAGCAGTCACTCATGCTGGGGTCACTCAGGGAACCTGCAGCAGGGTTAGGGCAGCTCAGGGCGTGCCAGCCCTACGGTGTGTTGCCCAGCACCAGGGCAGAACTCGGGCAGGGCCCACAGCTGCTGGGCATGCACAGGGCTAGCACAGGCCTGCGGGTCTGATGCAAGGAGCATCTCCTGCAGCCTGTGGCCGGGGAAGCCCTGCAGCAGATCCTGCCAGGCAGACCTCGCTGTGACTCAGCCTCGGCCCGGCCCGCAGCGTTCAGGCCCGAGAGGTAACACTTAAAAAGACCCCGCAGCACGGTGGTTAAGCACTGTCCAGAGAGCTGGCTCCCACATGGCCAGTTGCAGACCCAGCCCCGCAGGCAGACATACCGGATGCGCACGAAACCCGACACCACGAAGCAGAGGGGAGGACTGTGGTGTGATGGCACACAGGCTGCTCTCTGCCGTGGTTTGACAGGGGCAGGCCCCTCAGTGATTAAAGAGTTTTTAAATGCGGGCCAGCCTGTGGCAGGTTGGTTAAGACAACTAGTTCCAGGGCCAGCTGCTGGCATGGTGGTTAAGGGCCCTGGACTCCCACATGGCCAACCATGGTTCGAGTTGGTGACTTGCTCTCTCTCTCTCTCTCTCTCTCTCTCTCTCTCTATCCCTCCCTCCCTCCCTCCCCCTTTTTCCCCCTCGCTCCCTCTCTGTTCCTCTCTGGTCAAATTAAATAAATAAATAAAGTTAAAGAGAATTTTTTTTTTTAAAGAGACAACTAGATCCTATGGGGCAGACTGCGTGGTTTGGGTCTGGACCCGGCAGCTTGAGAGGCACCCAGGCGTGTAATTATGGGCAGCCCAGGAGGGAGAGGCGGGGGCAGTGTGGCCGTGCTCTGTTGGTGTGTGTCTCACATACACACACATACACACACACAGAGTGGCAATAAAGAAAATCTAACTATCGGGGCCAGCAGATGGCATGGTAGTTATGTCGCTGGGCTCCTACGTGGCCAGCCTTGGTTCAAGGCCTACATTTGGTGGCTTGGCATTCACACCAGGCACACAGGCGCACATGCCTGCTCAAGATCCCCTCCCAGGAGAACGGAGAAGGGACTGCACCATGGCTGTCCCCCTTGGGGGTGATTTCTCATTTTCTCTCTCACTGTCTCTCTCTCTCTCACTCTCACTCACTCTCTCTCTGGTGAGCGCAAACACCCTACAACAAAAACCTGTAAAAACAAACAAACAGTGTGACTACGAGGGCTGCCCCCGAGCGCCCTGTGGCGTTTCTGGCCCTCCATGCCAGCCGAGCCCCTTGGTCCCGCAGTCATGAGCCAGGTAAGCTGGGGCGCCCCTCCAGGGCCAGCGCAGCTGGTCAGTGGGCACAATGCACGCTGCTTGGCTGACCCCACTGCCTGCCCCGAAGCAGTGCCGCTGGGCACGGGGCCTGCTAGTACCATAGCTGCTGCGGTGGACAGTGCTCCGGGAGGATTGGGAGGACTGCCACCCAGAGGAGGCAGCACCTACCCAGCAGCCATGGCTCAGACCACTCTGGTGGTCCCACCAGGCAGCGACCCACAGAGGGCCACTGTGGCTTGATCCCTGAGTGGTCAGCCCGAGACCGGCCAGCACCTAGGCAGGTGCCTGGAAGCCAGGACTGCAGGAGGGGCTGTGGCTGTAGGCGGTACATTGACATGGCAGGACCGTGCTGGCAGGCAGCCAGGCATGAGCCCAGCTCCACGGGCACACATGTGCCAGACCCCTGCGAGAAGCACACGTGCGGTTGGGGCACATGTCCCAGGGGGCGGCTTCTCCTTCAGGAAACCAAGCAGGGGTGCTCGGGCTGGTCAGCTCTGCCTAAGTGTCCTGACCCTGTGCCAACTGCATGAGCGCGGGGCAGGAGCACTCGGCACCAGGCAGGGCAGACCGCTGGGTGCCTGCACGCAGTGCGCTCATGTCAGGTGGCACGTGGGCACCGACAGCCCCAAGCCCAGGCAGAATGCCCCTGGGCGACACCACAGCGAGTGCTGCGCCGTGAGTTGGCCTGCCTGGCACTCGGGCACGCCGCACGCCAGTGTCGGACGACAGAGCAGGCCCCTGCTGTAGGAGGCTGAGCAGGCCGCCGCTCCTGTGGGGGCAGGAGTGGAGCACTGTCGCCCGGCTGGCCCCACGTGGATGGTGCTGGTCCATACCCTGGGGCCTCCTCGTGCCGCGGTCCAGGACAGCCGAGACCGGGGTAGGCCGTGGACCCACAGCCTGTTGGGGTCTCTCTTGGAGGAAATAAATACTTTGACATGTAAATTGCCACATACAAATCGGGAACGAAGCCCGTTATGACCATGAGCTGCCGCGCTCTTGGCTTGCTCTGACCAACTCTGTCTCCTGGGAAGTTGACCCATGACCCACTGGTGTTCTCGTCACAAGCCACTTAGAAAGCTGTCTGCGCTGGGCCCGCCCTCCCACCAGCTGCCAGAACCTTGGCGCTGTGGGCTGAGGTTGAGCCCGAGGGCACTTGTCATGGGCCTCAGGGACTCCCGTGTGGTGTGGCCGCAGCCCAAGGAGCAGGAGAGGCCACCTGAGCAGAGCCCAGGGCCGAGGGGTACAAGCAGCTTGATGTGGAGGCGAGGGACAGAGGTGGTTCCACGGGCCAGACAGGGCTCTCGGGCAGAGCAGGGGTGGGCACCGCCACTGGGCGCAGAGGAGGCACCTGCCGTCTGGGTGGGGGTACTGCAGGCCAGGGAACATCCACAGGGCTCCTGGGCTCCCTCTGACCTCTGCCTGCCCTTGGCGAGCAGGGTCTGGGTGGCGAAGCGTGACTTCTGGCCTCAAGCCCCAGCCCAAGCGCTGCGCCCTCCACAGGGCTGGGCCGCTCAGAGACCTGAGGCCGCGCCCTCACCTGCCCCCAGGACCTTCAACTACGTCCTCCGGGAGCTCCCCAAGGTGCCGACACACGTGCCGGTGTGCGTGCTGGGGAACTACCGCGACATGGGCGAGCACCGCGTCATCCTGCCCGACGACGTGCGTGACTTCATCGACAGCCTGGACAGGTGGGCGCCGGGTGGGCGGCTGGGGCGGGCCGTCGCGGTGCTGGGGCAGTGCTGGCAGGAGAGGCCGCTCCTCGCGGTGAGGCCAGACCAGCGCTGGGGCAGGTAGCATGGGGCCTGGCCTCAGGAGAGCTGGCCTGCCCTTGCTCAGGGACTAGGTATCTGGAAGGGGCAGTTTACAAGGAGAGGGGTTCTCGAGCTCCCAGTTCTGGGGTCCGAGGTCCAGGCGGCCCTGCAGAGGCCTAGGTAGTGCCCAGCCCCACGTGGTGAGCCCAGGTGTGTCTCCTCTTCGAGAACCACCAGGCGCCCCACACTGACGGCCTCGTCCGACCGCCACTTCCCACAGGCCCCTTCGACCCCACCCTTGGTCCAGGAAGCCCTGGAGGAGAGAGGCTGGCGGCAGTGGGGAGTCACCCACACCCCCCGAGCCTCTCTCACACCATCTATTTTGGAAACAGGCCTCCGGGCTCCTCCTATTCCCGCTACGCTGAGTCCTCCATGAAGAACAGCTTCGGCCTAAAGTACCTGCACAAGTTCTTCAACATCCCGTTCCTGCAGCTCCAGGTGGGCCCCGCCGTGCAGGTGCAGCACTGTGCCCATCCTGTCTCTGCAGGCATCCAGGGCCCAGGAGGGGCCTGCCTGCCGAGAGGGGGGAGGTGGGAGCCGGAGGCCGAGGGGCACACCCTTTCGTCCTCGCTGGCGAGCTGACCCCAGGTCTCCACCTGCCAGGAGGAGCCTCCACCTCTGAGGCCCTGATGCGCTGCCCCATCACTGCCAGTGCAGGAGGGGGCACGCAGGTTCGGAGCAAGCCAAGGTGCCGTGGGCATGCCGGGCAGACACAGCTCAGAGCCCCACCCCCTTCCCCTGGGCAGACGCCGAGGACAGGCGAGGGCTTCTTGGCCATCACAAGACAAGTGTCCAGCTGACCAGGGTGGCCGCCCTGGGCAGGCATGGCAGTGGTCTGCAGTGTAGGTGGCGGGAAGTGTTAGCATCTGGTGCTTCCACGACGCTTTGCCAAGACCAGAAGCTAGCGATGGTTGTTGGCTGAGCCAAGTCTTGGGATGAGTTCTCTTGGCCGCAGGCTATCTCCCGGGGCTGCCCCTGACCTGTGGTCCTGACCGGTCTGGGACTGGCCAGGCCATTTGTGGACTGTCCCTCACTTGGGGTCCATCTGACGTTCTCATGGCAAGATAGTGGTTGAGGTCTTTGGACAGAAGACTGCGGGGTGCTCCCTTCTCAGGCTGTGGGCAGCACACGCTACCACGCTGTCACTATGAGGGTGGCCCTTGTCGTCTGCGGGGTACTGCTTGGCAGGGGCTCAGCTGTGGCGTGTGCAAGGCGTCCCTGCCACCACCTGCTCCTGGACACCAGGGACCTCGTGAGTGCCTGGCTACACCACAGCCTCCACTAACCAGGGCAGGGCCACCTCCAGGAAGGTCTGGTGCCAGAAGGTGGGCAGGCCGTGGAGGCCGGGGCACACCAGGGGAGGCCTGGACGCTGTGTCCTGCCCACGTGCTGTGGCTGGGGCCCAGGTGCCGTCAGGGTCCGGACCCAAGACCTCGCCAAGTCACGGTGGCTTCGTTTCTCCTGAGCTCTGACTGTGGGCTGGGATGGTGCTTTGTGGCCCGGCCAGAGGCAGCCAGTCCATCCAGACTCACAGGTGCCAGGGCCACCAGGGAAGGGCCTTTTGCAGAGACACCATCTGGGAGCATTTGCCACCTGCTTGCCAAGCTGCGAGGAGAGTACAGGTCCAGGAGGCGTTTCTGAACTGGAAGGCGGGCCGCAGGCCAGTGCCATCATGGCTGCCTGTGAACCCCACCGTGCCTCCCGACCACCGAGGCCGGGCTCACCGCCTTCCTCTGTCTACCCTAGACAGCCTGCAGACAAGTCCCAGGCTGCCTCAGCCTGTGAGGTGGGGGAGCAGGTGGAAGTGGGCAGTGGGTGGAGAAAAGACAGACACACTGACACCAGAGACAGCGGGGATCGAGCAGACTGGGCATGTGATGAGAACACTGGGCCCGAGCTGGTCCCAAGTTTATTCTTTTTTATTTTTAAATAATTATTTTATCTAACTTTATTTATTTTTAATTTGACCAGAGAGGGACAGAGAGAGAAAGTGAGAAAGCAAGCCGCCAGGTCTAGGACTCGAACCTTGGTCAGACATGTGGGAGTCCAGCACCCTTTACCACTACGCCACCTGCTGGCCCGGGTTTCTTCTTTCATACAGCGATGGGGCGGGAGCAGCTGAGGGGCGAGCCCGGCATTTTCTATGGTGGGGCCGGAGAGCAGCTCGCGGCCGTGGCTCCCGTCTGTCTGGTGGTTCTCAACAAGCCTCCCCCCTGGGCTTCTCCGGCCGACGCGCCTCCCTTTGCTCCACACCGACTGTGTCCACTTTGTGCATTTTCGAGGGTGGGGCCGGAGAGCAGCTCGCGGCCGTGGCTCCCGTCTGTCTGGTGGTTCTCAACAAGCCTCCCCCCTGGGCTTCTCCGGCCGACGCGCCTCCCTTTGCTCCACACCGACTGTGTCCACTTTGTGTGCTTGTTTGGAGAGGTAGGGCGCGTGTGCTCGCCAGAGACAGAGACAGAAAGTAAGAAATCACCCCCCGGTGGGATAGCCATGCCGCAATCCCCTCTCTATTCTCCTCTCGGGATCTTGGGCACGCACTCACATGTGCCCAGCATGAGTATAAGCCACCGGGTCCAGGACTTGAACCACAGTCGACTACATGGGAGTCCAGCACCATAGCCATTACGCCAACTGCTGGTCCTTGAGGCTGTGTCTACTTGGAAGGTCACTGTGCCTTGTCCAGCCCGGATGCTCCCTGCACATGGCCACCTCCGTCTCTCCTGAGACCACTCCCAAGCTCCTGTGGAGGCCAGGACCACCTATCCTGGCGCCACGCTCACCAGTAGCTCCTCCAGCCCAGCAGCTCTCTGGGCAACTCCTCAGGAGCACCCACAGCCACATGGCACGTCTCTCTAGGCTACTCTTTGTAAAACAGACTTTTATTTTGAAAGGGGGATCCTGCCACCCATCACTGAGGTCCGCCTTCCGCGGTGCGGGTGGTCTTGTGGCCTGCTGCCTCCCAGGCATACACCACGTTTCGGGGCCTAGCCCCTCAGGCCTGTGGACATCTGCTCTCTCATCACTTCGTGATCTGCTCTGTGACATGGGCTGGCTCCTGCACCTGGCCCAGCGGGGCTCCTATGGGCTCCTACGTGGTAGTGCGCCCTGCACCCTGGGGCCCCAGCGTGGCTGCTAGAGCTGAGGGTGCAGCAGGTGCCGGATGAGGGAGGAGGTGCCGGAGTGTCTCCAGGTGGGCGCTGAGATCACCTGGATGAGGCAGTGCAGGCTTCCGTGGTCTGGAGTCCGGCCTAGCTCCGGGTGTCCCGAGCTGTGTCCTCGCGGTCTGACACCGTGGGGCCCGCGCTCAGCGGCTGGCTCCTCATGCAGACAGGCGGGTGTGGGGCAGCGTGGCCACGTGCCGCTGCCTCCAGAGCCGTGCTGCCCTTCCTGCAGAGGGAGACGCTCCTGCGGCAGCTGGAGACCAACCAGCTGGACACGGACGCCACGCTGGAGGAGCTGTCGGTGCAGCAGGAGACCGAGGACCAGAACTACGGCATGTGCGTGGCCAGGCGCGGGACGAGGGCGGTGGGCAGGACACCTTGGCCTGAGGGCTGGGTCCTCAGCAAGAGCCCCGTCAGCTTTGGTGCCAGCTGCCCTGGGGCAGCTCCCCGTGGCAGGCCTCAACCCCCGCAGGAGCAGGCTGTGCCTCTGGGTGGCACCACAGCATCCCTGTGATCGTAGGACGGTCCGCTGGTCACATCTGGTGACAGCTGTCCTCAGGGCAGCTAGACAGAGAAGAGGCAGCACCAGGCTGGTCCTGCGGCCAGGCGTTTGCACTCTTGGTGGCTCACGCCTACAGGGCTCTCACTGGGTGTCAGAGACAGTGAAGGCACCTGCTGTGCCTGAGGCTTCTCAGGAGGGCAGGGCTCTGCAGAGCTTCAGGTGGCCCCTCTAAAATGGGCGGGTTCCCCGTCGTGCCTGGGGCCTTGGCCTCCCGCGTGCCCTGGAGGTGAGCAGCAGAGGCCTGCTGATGTGGGCAGGCACGCGGTGAGCCTTGCCCTGCTGGACCTTCCCTGCTGCGGGCGTCTCACTCCACCCTTGCCCTTCCCCAGCTTCCTCGAAATGATGGAGGCTCGCAGCCGAGGCCTTGCGTCCCCGCTGACGGCCAACGGGCAGAGCCCGTCCTCTGGCTCCCAGTCACCAGTGGTGCCCCCTAGCGCTGTGTCCACGGGGAGCTCCAGCCCTGGCACGCCGCAGCCTGCCCTGCAGCCGCCGCTCAGCACACCCTTGACCGGCCCCCCACTGCCCTCTGTGTCCCCCACACCCCCCCCTCTGTGTCCCCCGCACCCCCCTCTGAGCCCCTGCCCCCGCCCCCGCGGCGCAGCATCATCTCCAGGCTGTTCGGGACCTCACCTGCTGCTGAGGGAGCCCCTCCGCCTCCAGGTAGGCCTCAGCACGACACTCAGGCCAGTGGGCGCTGGCCCCACACCCCTGGGCCCACATGCCCTTGAGGCTGGGACTTGGTTTCCATGGCTATGGGGGTAGCCCAAAGCCTCTGGCCAGGCCTTATGTGCCACCCCCTTGGGTCCAAGTCACGCGGGCACAGCCCTGGGCGGCCGGGCCTGCAGTCAGAGGCTCACCCAAGTGGCCTGGTGCCAAAGGAAAAGGAGCCAGGGGTCTGCCGTCCACAGAGCCAGCCCCCGCCACCGAGGCCCCAGCAAAAGTCCGGACTGTTGAGGACTTTGTTCCTGAGGACAGACTCGACCACAGCTTCCTGGAGGATGCTACGCTCCTGAAGGACAAGCAGAAGGCCGGAGTGAGGGCCTCACAGCAGGACAGCGATAGGTGAGGGCTGGGGAGCCCGCCTTCCCAGCCCCTTCCCCCCCAGCAAGAGCTCTGCTGCCTCCCACCTCCCCGGGGCAGGCTGCTGTGGGCTGCCGGGTCTGTGAGCTCCAAAGGCATCAGGGAATGCCTGCCCAGGGCAACTACCAGCTTGGCCCGGGGCAGGTGTCTTCATCTGACTCCGAAGGTGGTGTCAGGCTGGCACCTGGCAGGACTGCAGGTGACCTGGCTGTGTTGAGTGGCCTGGGCTGGCCTGGCAGGGCCAGGGGCTTCAGCCAGACTCCGGGGAGGGTCAGGGTAGGCACGCGAGCCGCCTCACCTGGGCCTGGGCAGTGCCTACAAAGAAATGCACTCAGGTCAGCCTGTGGCATGGCAGTTAAGGCACCGGCCACTTGGAAACATGCCAGGTGCATGTGTGTGCCTGCCCAAAATCCCCAGAGAGGAGACTGTAGTGGCCATCCCCCCAAAATCCCAGGAGACAGGACTGCACAGTGGCCGTTCCCCCAAGAAGTGGCCTCTCACTCTGCCCCGTCAGTCTGTCTCCGACAAGTGCAGCCCTCAGCCTGGCCTTGGCTCGCCACCCTCCCACGTGTCCTCTGTCCCCAGCCAAGCAGAGCCCAGGCCCCAGCATCTCACGGACACGCAGTGGAACATGGCCTGTCCTGAAATGCACACAGGACGGGATGGCGCCCATGCGGCTCTGAGCCGGCCTGCCTGACATCTGGTCAGCTCTGGGTGCTCCGCCCTCCACCCAGTGTACAGCCCTGAGCCCTTCCCCACTCTGCTCAGATGCCTCTGACCCCAGGGACAGTCCCCACCACGGCTTGAGCATGGTCACTGTGGTGGTCGCAGTCGGAGCTGCCTGGAGCCAAGGGTGGTGGCAGGCCCTGACCCACCCGTTCCTTCATGCAGCGATGGGGAAGCCCCAGGGGGAAACCCGATGGTGGCCAGTCTCCAGGACGATGTGGACCTGGAAGACCAGCCTGGGAGCAGAGTCCTGCTGCCTGCGGGGCCCCCGCCCAGGGGGAGCTTCACGCCTGGAAGCGAGGTGGGGCCAGAGCGACAGGCACAGCGCCCTGGAGTCGCCGCCCTGGCCTCCCCGCTGAGCACAGAGCCAGAGACTGAAGGGTATGGTGGGTCCCCAGGGCGTGGCCAATGGTTGGGAGGCAGCGGTGCCAGGACCCCTGACCCTTCTCATCTACCCAGGACCTCCGTGAAGACCTCTGGACCACGTGGGGGGGCCGGAGCCAAGGCACACCCCCAGCTGGACAGCCTCCCTCCTAGTGTGGGTCCGGAGAGGCCAGATGGCACCAGACCCCTCTCCAAGTGCACCTCACCCAGAACCGAGGGCAGGGACAAGCCGGTGTCCTCGTCGGACAGCGACCCCGAGGGGCCCATTGCTGCCCAGATGCTATCCTTCGTCATGGACGACCCCGACTTTGAGAGTGGGGAGTCAGACACTCAGCGCAGGGTGGTGAGGCCGCCAGCCCCGGGAGAGGGCAGCCAGGGTGGGCCCTGTCAGGTCTGGGAGGCAAAGACACTGTGCCGTCGGGGTCCTGGCTGCCCGTCCACTGTGCTGAGGCCCGGGTCAGGCCCTCAGAGGCCACACCCGGGCCTTAAGCCAGACCCTAGTGTGGGTTTGGGGTGTGGGGAGGGGCTCTTCCCCCTGTTTATGGGGCTGTGTGGGTGGGAGGGGCAGGGCCCTCACCAGCTGCCCCCATCCAGGGTGAGTTTCCGGTGCGCGAGGACGTCTCTGACCTGACTGACGAGGACGCTGGCCCTGCCGCACTGCCGCCACCTCCACCACCCCACAAGGGCGCAGGTCCCTCCTTCAGGTTGAAGAGTGACTCGGATCTCTTCGGCCTGGGGCTGGGGGAGCCAGGCCCCAAGGACAGCAGTGAGGAAGGTGAGTGGGGTGTAAGGGCTCCGTGTTCTGGGGCTCAGGGTTCTTATCCTGCAGTGGCCTGAATCCGCCTCTGAAAAGCAGCCTATCTGTGGGCCCCGGGGTTGCAGAGGGTCCTGCCGGCCAGCCCAGGGCAGCCCTTACACTGCAGGGCCCCGTGTGTCTGACAGCTTGAGCCTCTGGCCCCCAGCAGCTGTGCCAGCTGCCGCAAGGACAGCCTGGCTAGAGGGGTGGGCGCTGGGCTTCAGACACAGCACGGGGCCTGTGGGCTGCCGCTGGGCACAGAGTGCCCCCCGGACTCCGCCCTCCACCCGCGGGGCTGCTGGTGGCTCCGTGGCCGGCCAGCTCCTGCTCTCACTCACAGGCCACCCCATGTGCTCTGTCCCTGGCAGTCCCTACCCCAGACTCATCTCAGAAGTTTCCCACTCCTGGGTGGAAAGGAGAGGGCTGTCCTCCCGGGCTGCCTGAGGTTCAGGGTTGAAGTGCAGGGCCTGCAGCGCCAGGCTGTGGTGTGGGCCAGCCCCTCCCCACGCAGCAGGCCCCGAGGCTGGGCCTGGCTGAGGCCCTGTTCCCCTGCAGGTAAGGACGACAAGCCCCCCTCGAAGGAGAAGGAGAAGAAGAAGAAGAAGAAGAAGGCCAAGGAGGTAGGACCAGCCCCTTTCCTGGCAGGGCTGGGCTGCAGCTGGCAGCCCCGTGATACCCCTCCCGTGGCAGGAGGGGAAGGCCGTGAAGAAGAAGAGCCGACACCGGAAGAGCAAGGATGCGGAGGAGGACACGGAGGAGCGGAGGAGGCGGAGGCCCCGCGGCACAGGCCCGAAGGCCATGGACGAGCTGGAGGCCTTCCTGGGGGGGGCGCCCACAGGCACCCGGCACCCAGGAGGCGGGGACTACGAGGAGCTCTAGGCCTCACTAGGCGTCTGACCCGGGTGGGCCGTGCACCTGCTGGGACCACCCTGCCCTGTGCCCCAGCGGCCGGCGCAGCCCTCTGTGCAGCCCTGCCGCCTGTGGTTGCTTCCAGCTGGAAGAGGCCTGCAGCCGGCCTTTGCAACCCGCGTGCCGGGCCTCCCAGGCCTGCTGTGAGGCTGCTCTGCAGGGAGGGAGGGACCGCTGGCTGCAGCCGGTCCCCAGTGTTTCTCAGGGATGTGACAGGCCGAGGAGGGACCCTCGAGAGCCTGTTTACAGAGGCAGGGCTTGGGGCTACCGATTGCCCGTGACCATTGCTCCCCCGCCCATCCCACAAAGCCACAGCATGTCCCCGGGCCCAGCTCCTCCACGGCGAGCAGGGCGGGTCCTGCCTGAGCGCAGGTGTGTGAGTCGGCGGGCATGGTGACAGGACCACACACAGCTCCTGTACACTAGGGCAGGCCGGCGGGGGGACAGCACCGGAGGCCTCTTCCTGGGGAGAGGCGCCATTCGGGGGTGTCTCCAGCTCTGCCCATGGCGGGCCACGCCTCTGCTCAGGCGGCCCGCAGGCC